TGAGTGTTGTCAGCATCAGATCTTCATGACACAAGAGCTTACCTAACATGGAGAACATGGCTTTAACGCTCAATGATGGAGAAACAAGATGCATATTTTACTGAAATGTGCATGAAGAGTCTTGCATTCTTTGGATTCACACAATTATGCTGCAAAGTTCACACAACAAACACAGAATTTTGACAACATAATTTACATAAAAAAAAAAAACCCTAAGGAAAAAAAAATTAGTCTTACCATATGAGTTGATGACTAACGAAGATGTCTCAGGAGAGTTATCAGAGGGCTTCCGGAGGTAAACTGTAAGACAAGTCATCTTGGACAGAGCTGTGTGCTTCTTGTGTAGACGGGTTGATTTCAGCCTCAATAAACAGGACAGGGAAGAAACACGATGCCTGTTTGTGCATGCCTTAGTGTGCAAACATACAGCATATAATTACAGTTGCAGAAATAAATATAATCACAAACATACTTTTACTTTGGTAAGCAAAGTAAAAGTATGTTTGTGATTATATAATCGGAGAAAATCTAAATGATTTGATTTTCTCTAATGCTTCGACTAATGTTTGTAATTAAAATTGAGTAGCCATGGGATAACTGATGTGTTTGCATTTAAAATTTAGTCAGCATTAGATTTAACTATTATATTTTGGGGTTAAAAAAAAAAAACTTTTCAATACTTGCGAATCAGAAACAAAATTTTGAGAAAAACAACGCTCTCAATTGGCAACATATGCATAAGTTTTAAAAAGACCTGGAAAAATAAACACAGGACAAGAACAGTGGCTGAGGACTTGAGAAGATTGTGGAAATATGCAGAAGGCACAAGGGGGGAATCATACACGGATATTATACTCCTGTGAGATTACACAGAATAAAACTGAAAAAAGATTATATCTGATGGAAATGGAAATCACAACGAGGAACCGTGCAACATTGTTTATGGGGCTGCAAATCTGTTAATCTGTTTTGGGCTAAAGTAGTAGAAAGGCTCGATAATCTCTCCGACTCCTGCTGTATGTTTGTTGTGCAGATCCCAAATCCTAAATGTGCCCAAAAGAATACTTTTTGTTAAGATGGTCGGTTTAGTTACTGCTTCCAGGATTATTTTAAAATGCTGGAAATCAGCTCTGTCAACAAATTTGAAAGAATGGACAGTCACCGCGATTGTGTTATGAATCTGAATGCGTTACACAGACTGAGGGGCTGCAAGGGGGAGGAGGATTGTCAAGAGCCCATGAGACCTTGTATGGGTCAGCATTGGATAGTATTTCGTACCACAAATCAGATTTCCTATGGATTAAATGACCTTTTGTGATTGCAGGCTACATTTCCCCTCATTTCTTATCTCAGTTTTCTGCTCCTTTGTCTTATTATTTTATGCCTTAGCAAATTCTGAAGAAAGCAATTAATCTGTACCAAAAGACCATCTCTTACTTACATATTTGCTAATTTGTTCCAATAATGTAAAAAGTACACTATATATTTTAAAGAAAACATAAGTATTTAGTACATCTCCAGAAGATGTTCATGGTGTTGTTTACAACTGCAAAAGTCATTAAAAACAATTATTTGTGAAAGCAAAAGTTGGTTTAAACCAAAGCACACTTTGTTCACAGATTTTTCCTTCAATGTCTCTAATAGGCAAATAAGAGCTTTCAAGTTTTCTTCAAAAGCTAGACATATTTTAATTAAACAACAAAACTCCTTCAGGATTATGTTCAACGACATTTTGAAGTATTTATTTTAAAGAATAAAGAATATAATTCAGATTCATATTAATTCAAATCTGCAAGGGATTAAAAACATCAACAGACCTCGACTTCAGAGGAAGCAGCAACGACGACAATCCAACAGTTAGTACCCCGGTTAAATAATCTGCAAATGTGTTTAATACCACAGAAAACACAAACAATACACCATCGAGTTAATGCAGCAATAATCCAGATTACAGTGCATCATGATTTAAAACGCCTCAAGGTGAAATGTGACACAACGGCAATATTTGCATCACACTGCGTGAACATGTTGCTGAGCAGGAATGTACTAGTAACCCAAGGATGAACTTTCAAAATTAATCCTGATTACCAGTTGACCCGATTACCAAGAAAGCACCAAAATCAAAGCCTTACTTAATAGAGATGCACAGATCTGGCAGAAACAACACTGCTGCTTGGCCAGTGCAATCCATGTCAGCATAATGCTCACAATGATAACGTATCCTCAATTAGACTATTTTAGGCTGGCGAAAATCCTATGTCCAGTTATCTCTTTATCCTGTCTCTTGTCTGTTTCTCAGGACTTTGAAAACTCCTGATCGTTCACCTTTGTCCCCTCATTCTGATCTGCCAGGGGAAAAAAAAATCCCTGATTCAATAGGTCTTTATCAGCTCAAAGGAAAAGAAAACAAAGGAGTTCTCTGAAACTCCTACACAGCTTTCCCAAACGGGAAGCAGAGCAGGACTTCCACATGTCAGTCATTTACGAAGACAAACTCATTTGGTAATAAATGTTCTGCATTTTCAGCTGACTTGTAGAACCTTGCAAAACTATTAATACCTCCGAACACATTTTACATGTTCAAGCCAAAAAAAAAACGCTTCTCTCAGTACTGTTAAAACTTTGTGAATACTTGAAGGATCACTTACAAAATTACTGCTGCATGTCACTTGGGATATGTCTGCCAACTTTTAGGTGGAAAAGTTCTGTTCATGTTTCTTTTAGGAATAGCTCAAGCTCAGGCACCAGCATGTGTCACCTGACCAAAACACTCTAATGGCTTATAGCAAACTGCAAATTGAATTTCGTTTGACTTTCTTTCAATAACAATTTTATTCTTGCCAATTTTTTCATAAACCCAAGATTTGGAAACATTAGTTGTCAGAAGTTGTAGGTTTCTGCGGCTCCTACAGGGTTATCATGTGCTTCTTGCCTGCGTTTCTGACTAACTCTCTCCTTTCCCAGCATGTTAGCTTAGGTGGGTAGCCATGTTTTGGTAGGCTTGCAGTTATGTCATTCACTCATACTCATATTCTAAGATGATGGATTGGACGGTTCTCCACAAGATGTTCAAAGCTCGGGATGCCGTTATATTACCTGTAGCAACTTCCAACGGATTTGCACTCAATCCCTGCTCTATGTTATGTTTCTTGGTCTTCATGATGCTATTTGTTCTCTTAATAAACCTCTGAGTCACTCATTGTCATTTAGACAATGAGTGAAAAAAGACAAGCATGGAGATGTTTTAGCTCTTGAGTCGTCAATAACAAGAGTTAGAGACCTTCACCTGAAACCATAGTTGCCTTATAAAATTCAGACAATCTATCTTTTTTTAAAAAAAATGTGTGCTGTAAATTACAATCATAACAATGTACACATATTATGAAAGAACAGTACCTGAAAACATAGGAGAAGAAAACAAAGGCAAGAGTGACAATTAAGATGTAGTAGAGAAGAAGGTAAGTTAACAGAATTATACTAAAATTAAATCAGGTAAATATGTTGACCAGTAAAGCAAAGTCCCACCTAGATGGGTAATAATATTACCTACTCTGTACTTCTGAAATTTGGTTTACTGTAATACAATTGCATAGCCTAGTGGATTCAGTGTGAATTGCAATCAGTGTTGCAACATCAATGTTGATTTGCACAAACTGTGACTCAATCATTAACAAAACTGGCAGGATAAATATGATACATGGAACAAAAATATCTGAAAAAGAATTAACAATTACTACACTGAAAAACTAAAACGGCATGAATTCATCATTGCGTTACAGCTATTGTACTTGACTGGCCAGGTTCTTTCTCATGCATTTAATGTACATATGTTTTAATTTTGTTTGATTTATGTGAACTGCTGTTTTTCCATGGTAAAAAGGCTGTGAATCATTCAACATTCAATTTAACTTGGCCTCACTAGAAATCACAAAAGGTAAGAATTGCAACTTTAACAGCTGCAACATATATTCAATTAAAGAAGCGACTTCATTACAGCCAACAATAAAGCCAACAAATACCTAGTGAACGCATTGTATTCCAGTATCGTGAACCAAATATTAAAACTTTCTTAAAGCTGTCTTCCGGAATATTAGACTTCTAACACTTAAATTAAATTTAATAGGGAGGGAATGTTACACTTTGTCAACACTGTGCATACAAGAAAACAAGTCTACGTTCAGCATCAAGCGGAATTGTAAGTTGTAGAAAGTTGTGACTTAGCAAAAAAAGAAAAAAAAAAAGTTCTTACCTGGGTCAGCTAATGTAATAAAACCGAAAGGTGTAAACGCGTAGCAAGTGGCACTGGGCGAAACAACATTCATCATACACCAAACGAGCTACAAACTACGGTGGCTGACAGGCGCAAACGCAAAACGGCTCTTTGACATTTTATACAATTTAAAACGTATTTCCTGAGAATACATAAAGTCTTAATGTTCTGCATTGGGTAGAGCGAAACAATTAAAGAGAAATCAAATCAATTATTAAGGAAAAGTTTAAGGAACGATGGCAGAAACAGCGGGAATAAGAAAGAACTGACAGATGGCCTTACAGTATTAAAAAAAAAACTTGGTGAGAACAGGACGAAATAGAAAGGAGGACGGTTTGGTCCGTACAGGGAGTACTTTACTTTAAAATAGGAAAACATCCAACAAAATATATTTTTTGTTTTCAAGAAGAGACAATAAAACATGTTTTGTTGTTCTGTTCCAAATATTCTGTTGAGAGAAGGGAATTAGTATGTAAACTACAAGACAATAAATTACAGTTAAATATTACAAGATCTTTTGAAAAAACTTTCCACTTCTGAATATTTTTGTTCTCTTCTGAAAAGACGACAAAATTAATAGAAAGGATATAGAAAATTATTTTTTTTTTTATGTGGGATAATATACATGTAGTGTCCCGGTCCACACTTCACTCCAGTAGATGACAGTAATGCACATCAATACGTTGCTTTCCAACCGCCATAAAAGAAGAAGCATGAAAAAGAGGAAAAGGAAGAAAAAGAGCGAAGCAATTAACAGAGCATGCGCACCACGAAACCATGACAAATACGTCTGAATCAGACCAAATAGCGTAGCTAACGCAAAATCCTACGCATAATATGTTTCCTAAAGCTCATGCCTGATTTGAATTAGAATATTTACGCTGGTGAGTAAACGTCTTATCTTTACTTAACTATGTCAACAGCATCACTTAATGAACAGTGTCAGAGAATTGTTAAATGATCTTGATTACTAGTTTATTCTCATTTTATTCCGCACTCCGCAGTTAGGTGTGAAGGAAGTGCTTCGCATGCTAAGCTTGGTAAAACTCGTGCTGTTATTCCTGTCTCCACCTGGAGCTTTCTAGCTAAACTAAGTTAATTTCAACAGTGTTTTAAAGTTGATATCTAATTCTTGTTTTAAAAAGAAAAAAAATAAAAGCCAGTCTTTTTTTTTCACTTTTTGTTTTGTGCTAAGTTTTTACGTAAGAGCTTTTGTGAATGCTTCTTGTAACGTTCTACACAGAAAATGGTCAAAGCAGACATGAAGAATAAATAACGCCAGATTGACTTAACTTCACCACTGTGTGCCATGGAGTTTCTCCCAGTGCTTGACCCGCTTGATAGACCTAAAGAAGGAATCTGGTATGTATAGTAAAAATTTATCATTTGTACTATTTATGTAAGAATAGAAATGATCTCTTGGTGTTTTTTTGTTTTTTTTCTGAAATCCTTTTTGCTGTAAACAGGTATTCATTGACACCAAGTGGAAGCACTCCAGGGGTTAGTGTGGGTCATACCTGCACGTTTGTTCCCTCTGAAGATGGTGGAAAAGGAAGAATCGTTATTGTTGGGGGAGCTAATCCCAGTGGCAGTTTTTCAGAGTCATATGCTATAAATCTAGGTAAAAAATATCCACAAACAGTTTTTAATGCATACCTGTTATAGCCTAAGCATATTATAAAGCATTAGGCACTTAGACTTTGTAAGTAAAACATTATTTATGTACTTGACTAGTGCCTCCTTCAAGTTAAAAGTCACAAGTCTGGATTTGTATGTTTGTTCTTCTTTTCCAGATAATCATGAATGGATCACATCCGACTGGAAAGGTTTAGAAGCCCGATATGAACACTGCAGTTTTGTGTCCGAAAGCTGTCCACAGTGCCTGTGGGTGTTTGGTGGGGCACAGCAGACGGGGAATCGCAAATGTATCCAGAAACTACAGTTTTCTGGTAAATCTTGTCTTAAGCTTTTCTTCTAATCAGCAGTTGTTTATAATTCCTGTAAAAATAGTAAAGTCTATTTTGTTTCCAGACAAGGAGCCTCAGTGGAAAAATGTAGAAGCAAAAGGGGAGCTTCCCAGTCCCAGGACGTACCACACCAGCTCAGCCTGCATAGGGGACAAACTGTATGTGTTTTCTGGTGGGGAAGCAGGCGCTGCACCTGTCTCCGACACCAAACTTCATGTGTTTGATACAGGTTAGAGAGCAAAGAACCAGCATTGTAAGATAATCATAATAAGCAGTGTTTTGCAAAGAATGCTGAGGAATATTTGAAATGATGCTAAATGAATCCAATAAAAATCACAAACTTTGTAAAAAAATAAAATAAAATTATAAAATAAAATTTCAGAGGACTTTAACCTGTCTGTCACGAGAGGACCCAAATTTGGGTCCTCTCGTGACAGGGGTGTCAAACTCCAGTCCTCAAGGGCCTCTGTCCTGCAACTTTTAGATGTGCCTCTGCTGCACCACACCTGAAAAGAATAATTAGGTCATTAGCAAGGCTCAGGAGAACTGATCTACACAGGGAGGAGGTAATTAAGCCATTTCATTCCACTGTTTTTTACCTGTGGCACATCTAAACACTGCAGGACAGCGGCCCTTGAGGACTGGAGTTTGACACCCCTGTCATTGTGAATGACAACCTGAGACCAACAGGTTAAGGAGGGTCCATGTAAAGAATAAGATTTTGACAAATTCTGATTATAACTGGATAAAGTGGATCTAATTACCATAATACTAGTATGAAAGGAAAGAATGTTAGGCATGCAGTTTTTGACTATAAAGGAGAGTGACACCTCCTTAAGCTTTGTACAAAGTTGAATAAGTGTCCAAGGTACATAATGCTGCTCAACTTCCTCTAATAACCATCTAGTCTTTTCTAAACAGAGGAAGGTGTATTCATATAAATAGCATTGCTGCTGTCCATTACAAAGAGAAAGTGACATTGGACAGGTTTCATAATAGCTACTTTTTAAAACTAAATTAAAAAAACAGGCTAATTGTTCATCAAGCCAGTTTAAGTATTTATATGACACCGTCTTCTAAACTATCTAGTATGACAATTGGGGAATCGACTGTTTTAAGATTGATGGGAGAGAATACCATAAATTCAGTCCGCTTTGAGTTCAGATATCATTTTGGTTTCAACAGACATTGCTGCAGTGACTGTGGAGCTCTCTGCAAAAGCTATACAACTTGATCTCAGTAGTGTGCGTAAATGTGCGGTACGGAAGACATCCCCTCAAAAAAACATTGCTTCAACGGTAACAAATTCAAGAAAACATTCGTGCTAATTTAATGCATTGTGTGTGAATGTTTTTCCAGTTTCTTCCACTTGGTTTCAGCCAGAAACACAAGGTAGACAACCGGCGTCCAGACACGGACACGTCATAGCTGCGGTTGGCTCGAAGATTTATATTCATGGAGGCATGGCTGGAGATAAGTTCTTCAGTGATATGTATTCTCTTGACTCAGGTAAGCCTCTTACCAAGGTCAAACATATAAACTATGGAAGTTCTGGCTAATCTAATATTGGAATCCATATTTAAAGGGATCATGAAGTGGGAGAAAGTGCAGTCAAAAGGAGATATCCCACCAGGCGTTGCAGCCCATTCGGCTGTGGTACAGGGTGCAAACATCTATATATTTGGAGGGCTGACTGTAGACGGTGCCGTCAACTCAATGTACAGATTTAATACTGGTACACTGCCTTTGCCTGGTTTTCATTTTCTTGAACCCCATGTTTCTTAAGACCAGACATGTCATGCTGTTTTTCTGTTTGCAGAGAAGAGCAGATGGACCCTAATGAAATTTGAAGGAGATTTGCCACCAAACCGCCTGGACCACTCCATGTGTTTATTGCCATGGCAGTTGTGTAGGGAGAGGAATGCAGATGGGATGCAGACCAGCGGTCCAGACTTTGAAACCATCAATCTGGCTTTTGCATTTGGAGGAATGGACACCCACAGCGTTATTTATAATGACTGCATTGTGACTGTTGTCAAGTGAATTTTTATTGCAATTCAAGGTTCGTGTCGGTTTCTGCAAATTCCAGAAGTCAGACTGATTTTTAGAGATGCCTGTATGTTTAACTCTTGACAGCTTTTACATGTAGGTTTCAAATTTCAATGTTCAACTTTCAGCGTTACTATAAGCCTTTTAAACTATTCTCACCATTAAAATTCAAATTTTCTGCAGGATGACAGTTTCAAGTAGAATTCTATTCTGTTGCAAATGTCATTCTTAATCATTTCGATCCTATTATGTAAAATTTGAGCATATGAATTTAAGGCCATAAATTAACACTCTGTGCCAACCCTGAATTTTGTGTTGAAGGAAATCCTATCCAACAAGTATCAAATTAATGCAGCATGAGACAACCTGCAATAGTTTGTATGAAACATTTATTTCAGTGTCTTTCCAGAAGTACAATAAATAACTTTGAGCACTGCCTGTGAACAGAACCATTGATCCCACAGACACCATCCATACTAAGTGTACCCACTAATAACTTGCCCACCCAAATAAGCCCCTCCCCTTCACAAAACCCCCATTAGGACTGCCTGAGAACAGCAGCAACAAGCCTCATCTGGGCTGACGAATCTCCGCCTTGCAGCGAAGGACATTTCTCACACTGAAGTTTATTTTCAAGTCTTTTAGAAAATTCAGTATGGTTGCTTGTTATCGTCACCCCTTCCCTGCCACTCCTCTCACTATTGAGTCCCATCAGTTCAAATTCATGCTAATGCCACCTAAAAGGGAAAAGGGCAACCAGAGACTTCAAGCCTGCCTACAACTCATCTTTTTCTTGCTCCTCGGCACCCTCTGGTGGAGGTCCGCCTGCGCTGCCGTAGAGCTTGCTGATAATAGGCTGAACAACTTCCTCCAGCTCCTTCTTCTTAGCCTGGAAGTCTTCCAGATCGGCATCTTGGTGGGACTCCATCCACTCGATCTTCTCCTCAACAGCCTTCTCAATGGCCTCCTTGTCCTCATCTGACAGTTTGCCACCGAGCTTCTCCTTGTCGCCAATTTGGTTCTTCAGAGAGTAGGCGTAGCTTTCCAGTTCATTGCGGGCGTCGATCCTCTCCTTCAGCTTCCTGTCTTCGTCAGCAAAGCGCTCGGCGTCGTTCACCATCCTCTCGATGTCTTCAGGGGTCAGGCGGTTCTGGTCATTTGTGATGGTGATCTTGTTCTTGTTGCCTGTTCCCTTGTCTTCAGCGGTAACGCGTAGAATGCCGTTGACATCAATTTCAAAGGTGACTTCAATCTGTGGAACTCCACGAGGGGCAGGGGGGATGCCAGTCAGGTCGAAGGTGCCCAGCAGATGGTTGTCTTTTGTCAGAGGACGCTCGCCTAAGAAAAAAAAATAATAAATTAGTAACTGATTAGGGTTTTATAACATTTTACATTCATGATCAATTTTAAAATTTCATATTAAGTATTTGGAGTGCTGTCCAATTCTTACCTTCATAAACTTTAATTGTGACAGTAGGCTGGTTATCTGAGGCTGTCGAGAAGATCTGAGATTTCTTTGTTGGCACAACAGTGTTCCTGGGGATCAGTTTGGTCATGACTCCTCCAACAGTCTCAATACCAAGGGTGAGGGGGCACACATCCAGAAGGACCACTTCTCCTGCAAGGACAGAAAGATTTTTTTGATAAGCAAACACTAGCCATTTTAATCATGTTTAGCAATTTCAACTAAGCCAAAGAAAACTTACCAGTATCTTCTTCTCCAGAGAGCACTCCAGCCTGGACAGCAGCTCCGTACGCCACAGCCTCATCGGGATTGATGCCCCTGGACGGCTCTTTGCCATTGAAGAACTCCTTCACCAGCTGCTGGATTTTAGGGATACGAGTGGAGCCTCCAACAAGCACGATCTCGTCAATGTCGGACTTCTTCAGGTCCGAGTCTTCCAGGACTTTCTGTACAGGTTTCATTGTAGCGCGGAACAGGTCCTGGATTTTGAAGAGAAGTGAAAAGTTGTAAGCCCCTTTAGAGAAACCTTGTTGCATTACTGTTGTGCAGCTTTTTAAGAAGACTGAACTTACCATGTTGAGCTCTTCAAACTTGGCACGGGTCAGGGTCTCAGAGAAGTCTTCTCCCTCAAAAAAGGACTCGATCTCAATACGAGCCTGGTGCTGGGCAGACAGAGCCCTCTTTGCCTTCTCGACCTCACGACGGAGCTTCTGCACAGCGCGGTTGTCTTTGCGCACGTCCTTGCCGGTCTTCTTCTTGTACAGCTTGATGAAGTGCTCCATGACACGCTGGTCAAAGTCTTCACCTCCCAGGTGGGTGTCACCGTTGGTGGCTACCACTTCAAACACACCGTTGTCAATGGTCAGAAGGGAGACGTCAAAGGTACCACCGCCCAGATCGAACACAAGGATGTTCTTCTCGCCATCTTTCTTATCCAGGCCATAAGCAATAGCGGCAGCAGTACTAGATGCAAACAAAAACCAGAAGTTAGTATTATACAGAAGAGAGGAAAATATTTCTATAATTTCAACATTTTGCTTAAATACTTACGGCTCATTGATGATTCTCATGACATTCAAACCAGCAATGGTGCCAGCATCCTTAGTGGCCTGGCGCTGAGCATCATTGAAATAGGCAGGGACAGTCACCACAGCATGTGTGACCTGAGCACAAAAGCAAACGATTTTTGTAAGTTTCAGTAATTTATTAGAAACTAGAATTAAATCAAGTGGTTTGTGGAAACGTCTCTCACCTTCTTGCCAAGGTAAGCCTCAGCAGTCTCCTTCATCTTGGTCAGGACCATAGCAGAGATCTCCTCTGGGGCAAAGGTTTTGATCTGGCCACCACCAATGTCAACCTGGATGTGGGGCTTGCTCTTCTTCTCAATAACCTAAAATAGGACACGAATGTTTAAAAAAAAAAAGAAGAAGAAGAATCTGGAGAACATAAAATAAAAACCCTTCAATTATGACCACTACTGCAACAGCTAAGAGTTGAAACTCACCTTGAAAGGCAGGTATTTGATGTCCTGCTGCACAGAGGAGTCGCCCCATGCGCGACCAATCAGCCTCTTGGCATCAAAGACTGTGTTCTCAGGGTTAGAGGTCAGCTGATTCTTAGCAGCATCACCAATGAGACGCTCACCCTCACTGGTGAAGGCCACATATGAGGGGGTGATGCGGTTACCCTGGTCATTGGCAATAATCTCCACACGTCCATTCTTGAAGACTCCAACACTGAAAATTAAAGAGAGGTTAGTTTTGAGTACTCTTCTTGGTATCTCAATGAAGGAAAAAAAAAAACATTTCAAAGGTGTCTGAAATTTTGAATATGACTTAATTCATTACCATGAGTAGGTTGTCCCCAGGTCAATTCCTATGACAGTGCCCACACTGTCCTTTTTGTCGTCGTCATCAGCACGCACGGTGCCGACCACAAGCACTACAAGCCACAACAGCTTCATCGTTGCTTCTCTTTTTCTGGACGCAGAAATGAGGAAAACGCTACAAAAGACAAAATAAGACTATTCAAGTATCCGGAATGCACCACGAGGCCTCCTTCCTTATAGAAGTTTGTAGTCGTTGCCCACCATTTAGACAGGAAACAACCATTACAACCAAATGCACGGGAAAAAAAAAACATCAAGTAAAATTACAAGCTGGAATAACAGGACAAATAGTCTTAATCTCAAACAAATATTAGCATTAATGTCAGTTATTGGCTAGTGTACAAGTCAGTATCATGGAAGAACGAAGACCGAATAAAAATGTAACAAAGTCACCCTGTATTCAAATTACGTTTTTTTTTTTAAATGGCAACTGCAGTATTAAAAAGAGACTGTATAGTTGTCAATGCTTTGCTAGCGTTATACGTTGGTTACATGAAACGATTTGGAAAACATTTATGCTAAGTGGAACACGAAATGTCACAATATTCTACAATAATATTTACACAGGTTTATGTACTTACCGTTACTACAACGTTATCAACGATTTAAAGGCCTCTACAATGAATCAATTCAGTCAAGTTCCCTCCGAATGATTTGCGTATCTTCTTATGTATCCTCTACGATCTTGCCTGTTCCGAATGATGCTGACAGAAGTGTGCTTTCTCCATATATAAGCCGTTGTTGCTTTTCTGTCGTGGAGGCCTGCTATTGGCTAAGCAGCTGTTCGCTGGAAGGTGCTGATTGGTTTCATTCAGCACGCTGTCCGGCGCTGATTTGCACACATCAGTTTGACGCAACGTCATCGCCTTGTCCACCACTCCGCCGACCCTGATTGGCTGTCAGTCAGCAACACTGATGAATGCAGTTGGTGCAATGACACGCCACTCTACATACCGGCGAAAAGGCGTTTCATCGTCACATTTCATACATTTTGAAGTTTGGGTAGCATTTGCTTTTCTAGAACATTCTTATGTGTGGTAGTATCCTACAAATAAGCTACAATATGAATGCAAGTAATTCTGTGGATGCTACTCTAGTATCATGCATTGTAATGATCACTCTCTTGATCAGTAATATGCCATTGTGACTTAAATTAATAGCATGTTTCATTAGACAGCTGACTGTCAGGATGATTCATTCATAGGTTTGTCTGTTTTGACGTGAGGCCTGCAAATATTATTGTTCACTTCAACATAAATGCTGTTTAGCCATTCCATCATTACTAATATGCAATTCGGAAATTAAATTAAAATATCCAGTAAGTGATGGCTTTCTTTCTTCTTGATTTAAAACACGCTGATTTCTACATCATAAACAAAATAGTGTGTGTTGTGTTCATGAATATAGAAGAGCAGTGGATACCTCAAAAATGTTCTAGAAACAGTATGAAAATGTAAAATATCGATAAAACAAAGAGCAATCTGTAAATCTAAGTAAAAAGGCCAGTCCCTGCATGTATGCATATCAATCTAGATTGAACTTAATCGACAGAATTTAATTTATTTTATGGTATTTGGATAAGTATCTATAAACATATTTTTCATCAGTTATTTTGTATTGACCTGGTGGACATTTCTAGAAATTAACTATAAACTATGATTTGTTGTTTCTCTTTAATTAATAGGCGACATATTGTTTTGTGTAGCCCCTGAATTTAAGAAAAACAACCCCCCATATTTCAATTTTATTTACCCAATATTCCAAAGAGTTCTTAAGTACTTTGAGATGTAAGCAAATGTCCTCAGCTGGTTAAATATTTCTAATTAAAACTAAATCAGAGTTCCACACACTATGAATGTTAAAGGGGAACATATAAGTGAATACATTAAAAAACACAAACATAAAAAAGTAAGCAAAAAGATAAAAAAGCTGAACATGCTGAACAGATCCCCAAATTGGTGCACACAGATATTTAGCTCACTAGAAGGTAAAATCTATTTCTTTAAGGATCACTCATTTCCTCCTTTTCCTTCTGCAGCTATAAGGAGCTTCCAACACTAGGGAGAGCTATATTACTCAAATCTAATAATATAACCAGGAAGTTAAACTGGCTGTAAGATTTGCTCTGCTTTTTCAGTTTCTTACAATTGAACCAAAGACCACTCTCACTTTCAGACTTTGTGTTAATTCTAAAAATGTGTTACATATCTTAAATTTACATTTATGAAGAACAGTTTTACATAGATTTTTACTTTGGAAATCAATGCTATATTTATCATATTTAATAAATTACAAATATTTTTGTTGTATTTAATTACTTGAAGCCAAAATCTGTAGTTCATTAAGGGGGCATCAAGTTACTTTATCTATTACACAAACGATGGACTCTACACATGCATGGCATACTCTTCTAAAATTCAGTCCCATATTGAAAGCTTAGGATTGATACAAAAATGAACGGTTTAATTGCCTTTAATTTTGCTGTGAAAGTGACAAATGGAATCTACCCAAGTAAAATGTAGTAAAATATCAGACAATACGGTTTATCAATTTAATTTTACTTTAGCTCCAATATAACCTATCAAAATAGTGTAGAAATTAATTAATATTACTTTATTTCATTGTTAGACCTCGTAAAAATGTTTTGTATGTTTTATCATACAGCCTGACATTGTAATTTACTTGCCCTGTCTGTTTTAATTTGTGTTTTATTCTTATGTGTTTTATTTGTGTTTTATGAATACTGTACAGCACTTTGTTGCAGTTAATATCTGTTTTTAAAGTGCTTTATAAATAAAATTGACATTGACATTGTATTGGAGTAATTATCACACTATGGTCTGACCCTTATCTAAAAAAAAAAAAAAAAAAAAAAAAGTTTCAAATAACGTCTTAAAGTTTAAGCACTTTAAAAGTGCTTATAAACACAGAAGAGCAAGAACTTATAGTGTAATAATAATGGGATCTACAATCACATTTTCCCCTACTTTATATCACAAGTCTATGTTTATCTAAAACTGGTTGCGCCCCCTAAGAACGGGGGCTTTGCGCCCCCTACCGATAGAAGGATCCATTAGCATCTTACTGATGACGTGGTTCGGTCGCTTGACCACCAGAGCAGCAGGATGGCCGACCAGAGTAGGCAAACAAAACTCGCTGCAGCTAAGAAAAAGGTAAAGTATATTAATAAATGACTTTCCTTAATTTCACGTTATATACTCATCATTTATTTAGCTTGCAAGTTTAATTCAACCGTGTTTCTACTTGTTGTATTATAAATTCCATGACTGAGCACGGGTGTTGTCATTACACGTCGTCCGACCTCTGCGATGTCGCACGTCCCTCCTCTCGCACTCATATTCCGGCTTCAATGAGCAGGAAAGACCGGTGCCTGTCTCCTGGCCTCCACTGATAGCAGTAACCTACTGATAGCCTTCACCTTCGTCTATTCTTAGTTGGAAGTTGTATTCACGACATCCTATTCATCTTAGTGCCTCAACGAGTAACTCAACTGTGGGCCAAAGGTTTACCCGTCTATCAAGACAACCGTAAATTTAGTCATTGGCGAAATCTTAACGTGCTAAGGCAAGTTAACATTAGCAAACAAGCTCAAAAGCTAACGAATACATTGATACGGATGAGTGGAAATACCATAACACAGAAGCTTGACAACCTTTTGACTCGTTTGCAAAAAATGTTAACATCATAAATTGGGCTACAAACAGTCGTTTTCAGAAAGTATAAAACTGAACTCCACAAAATTAGCTTGCTAGCATAATGAACTGGATTGAATCAAGGGGACTGTTTTGACAGCTGACACCCCTCTTCTCGGACAGAAGAGGAGCTATTTTGGAGTTTTGTAGAAATATGAATACATTTCGACCACTGTACTCCTCAATATTTAATCTTTGACTCATATATTTTGTAAATAGGTGATCATAAATTTGAAACACCATTTAAAATTTGATTAGTCACTTGATTTCCTTGTTGTTCCTCCTGTTACTTTTCAGGGCCCTGAGCCTAAAATGTTATTTTTCAACTCACCTATTTTTAAAACATCGTCTCTGGTTCTTGTTGCTGTTGTTCTTTTTATTTCAAGATTGAAACTGTATTTTTGTTGTTTGAGTGGCATAGTTTTTGGGTTGTTTTTTTTTTTAGAATAATTGGATTAAAGGTGCATTAGTAGAGATTACTTGGATGTTGCTTCATGCCAGACAAAATTCAACTTGAGAAACCTGCTTAATAAATATTGTTGACTTTTGGGGAGCAGCTGCAAAGAGGCCTTGTGTTAGATCTAAAATTATGCAACTGCATATTCATCATTTTAAATGAATATGTGTAGCGTTTTATATATATATATACATATGGTGAACAGTGAACAATATCTAAAAAATAAGGATATGAAAGCAATTAATTACTTTAACATAGTTAATTTTGCTGTAAGGTGTCAGAGCGTTTTTAATGCCCTACTAGCCCTCTTTATATTTTACAAGTTGTATAAAACATAATATTTGGCTAAAGAAAGACATAAATATTTTGGAAACAGAGAAGGTAAAACACTCTTTCTGCATTCTGTTTCTTTTTGTGTTGCTCAGCTGAAGGAGTTTCAACAGAAGAGCTCTCCTGGTTCTGTGGGAGGAGAAAGGGGAGGAGGAGGAAGTGGAACAGGATCCAAGAAGAAGCGCAAGGTGAAGGAAGTGAACCAACTTGATGCAGACAGAGATTCCCCAGACAATGTGAGTTTTTCTGTAACGTTCTGCTCATTTAGTCTTTTTTTTCTTGTGTTGGTTGTTGGATTAGATTGCCTCCTAATACTACATGTACATTTCACCCCTGTATTTAGTCCTTTGTATTTTGTGCACTAATTATGTTGCTAGTTGCAAAACTATGTTACTAATTTCATACATTTACATTTCTTGACATAGATTGCTAGCAAAGCAGTTCTGTTTGATATTCTCTTAAACATGCTCAGAAATACAGAATATCAGAAGGTATTGGAAAGCTCTGTGATAATTGTCAGTCATAAGGAAGGAAATGTGTATTAGACTTTAAACAGTAGTTCTAATAATGTTGGTTACTATACCAGTTATTGTAAACACACCTTTTGTTTTTCAACAAAAGTGTGATTGAAGTAGCCTATTGATATCAAGCATTGCCTCTTGCTTTGTGTTCCAATTGAACAGTCTGTGGTCACATTAAAAAGGCTAATGAGGACGTGTGTGTGTGTGTGTGTGTGTGGGGTGCTGCTTTCAGACAGCACATGCGCATAACTTGGCTCTGCCTCATGACATTTGACCTGCGTTTACGGCCGTTCTTTAGACAGCTGTCGATGTTCTTCTCACTGTTACGATAACTGTGACTGCACTCTACTCTGCAGTAGTTGCACACATGACCATTAACTTAAAAATGCCATTTGTAAAGTAAGAATCTCTATCTTTGAATTGTGTTTCAAATATCAGCATCTTTTCACTTTTCCTTTTCCTTTCTTTAATTCTGCTCGCTCTCTCAACATATCAGTTATTAATTTTAACAACTCTTTGTTCGTATGATTGGAAAGCCTAAACTTATAAGTGCAAATTGTTAATTTCAGTTCAGTTTCTTGGATAGAATTCATATTGAAATAAGAAGTTTACTGGTAGTTCAAATCTAATTTAATTTAGGCCTAATTATGACTGTAAATGGAGAGGCGAAAAAAGAACTTGTACAAATGATGGCAACATATGTTGTGGTCACTTT